CAGATTGTGGTTAGTTCAAATTAGGTTTTCTCGAAAACAGAGATCTACTTTTACACGAGGAATCACCTTCTTTTTTATTTGCATCACGATTTGCAGCACACCGTGTACATGAATTAGGTAATACTCGTAATCATTAGCACAGTTACTGCTAATCGCAAAATTGTCAGTTTTAAAGTGCAAATGGAGGTAGGTATAACGTTTATAGTTACGACTTATAAACTGGTAATGTACACCTCGTAAGCATCTAACGATTCATGGTTATTTAATACGACAGATTATAACACAGGTTTTAGATTTGTGAAATCTGTGCAATACTTGAAGATTACGCAATGTGAACTCTGGATTTGTGAAAAGGAACAGGTAGAATTAGACAATTATTCGATGTAGGTTAAATTTTAATACAAATCAATGTAGTACATTGCGGAATGATTTTTCGATAAAACTGATTCGTAAGATAAGAAAATTATTAAAAATATCCTACAGTGATACGAATGAATAAATTAGTACAAATTGCAGTGTCGGAAAATTGTAAAAAATGACTGCAATACAAAATACAATTCTTTTCAAAAATAGCTAAATTAAAAAAAAACAGTTTAGCTCGTTTTCATACATTGTATACCATTCAACAAGTAGAATGGTCAAATCCATCGATTTCTGTGCAAAAACACACCAGTTTCCCTAACAATTCAACTATAAAAAAAAAAAAAAAAACAGAAAAAAATCCCTTTAACTTCCTTTCTAAAATGTCCTCTCACCCCAACCTTCTAGAAACATTTTCTCACCTTGGTCGCGCTAAAAAGCTCTCCGTAAAAAAGTTCTCGCAATCTGACCACGGTACACGGAAATCCAACGAGTAACAAAAACCCAATTTTCTTTCCACTCTGCAGACGAAGGTGTCTCGTTTCCAAGACATTAGAAAGCCGTTCGATAAAATGCAAACCGGTGGTCGCGTTGTTTGCGAGCGTTAAGTTTCACCGCGGGTCCGCTTAATTAATCCCTATCGATGATAAAACAAAAACACGAGCGTGGCAAAGCAAAGAAAAAAAAGAAGGCGGATTTAAAAATATCACAAAAAAAAAAAGG